AATTTCAATAACACGATTTTTTATAATGCGTTGATTGATAAAATGACCAAGTGGAATGTGTTAGAATGAACCGTATTTATGGAAATTCAAGCACCGTATCACCAATGATTCAACTAACGAGGGGGGCAGAAGAGAAACGGTGCCATCCTATATTTTCTCGCCTCGCTTCACTCTTCAGTTATATTTGTGTCTGTATTCCAAATAAGTAAAATATGAATCATTGGAGATACGGCACTTGAATTTAGTCATTTTATTCCTTCTAGTTTACATTAACATCTGTTTAAATAATCCAAGTATATAGAGGTAACAGTGTACGTGTAAGTGAATGTAGGTTCATGAACGCAGCTGGTTGGTTTTCGCCATGAGCCAAGCCTCGTTTAAATCCACACCTACTAGCACATGTACATGTATAGGTACACTATGGCCTTGTAAGGTGTTTTGTCACAGTACCGTGATCAATATGTTATACAAGTGATTGCCCAATTTTTTAAAACTAACACGATCCAGATCAAACGCTGTATAACATTTTAAAATGATATTTTTCATGAATATTATACAATGACCTGAGGCAAACTTAGGTTAAACCCTTCCTTAAATATACAACATATACATGTAATTTTCCTAAAAAAAACAACAACATATCGTATAGCGTTTTATTGTAATCACGATACTAGTAAGAGTTTGCGTGATTACTTGTAAAATGTATTGATTATGTTACTGCGACAAAACCCAGTTATACCAAGCACTGACACGAAAATATCATAAGGTGTTGAGTGCAAAATGTAATACACTGATCAGTGCGGCGTTAAGCATTGGCAGGCCGTTGACGAAGTATAAATTAATGCTTCCCCCCTGCTTACTTTTGCTTTTAAGAAAAATACCATACAATTTGATAAACTAAATTTATTAAAGATACAGAAATTACGGAATTAAAAAAGGAAAAATATATTTTAAAAACGGGCTTATTATTATTACTTTATTATGCATTTCATATTTTATCTTTTATTATTATACTCGCAACGCGTGGTGGGCCCTGGGCAACTGCCCCTTTTGCCCATTGAATAAAACGGTCCCGACAGTGATGAATTTATCAGAGACAATTACCTTATTTGTTTGATGGCCCGGCATGGCCAGGTGGTTAGAGCGCTTGACTCACAATCTGAGGATCGTGGGTTCGAACTCCCGTCCAACCAGACATGTTCGCCCTTTCAGCCGTGGAAGCGTCATAACGTGACGATCAATCCCACTATTCGTTGGTAAAAGAGTAGCCCAAGCGTTGGCGGTGGGTGGTGATGACTAGCTGCCTTCCCTCTAGTTTTACACTGCTAAATTAGGGACGGTTAGCGCAGATAGCCCTCGTGTAGCTTTGCGCGAAATTTGTTTGATTTTGTTGTATAGTCCTTTACTCACCACTTATAACGAAGTAACGGAAGTAACGAATCAAAGAATAAATAAGGCCTCAACGTCATGTTTTCTTCACCGAAATTCACGTTATGGTGAAGAAAAGAAATTACCTTTTCGTTTGTCAGTCTAAAATAAATCCTATCGTCAAGGAGAAAAATAAATACGACATAAGATAAGACCACTCAATGTTTTTTGACGATCGTTCTATAACTCACACAAGTCAAGGGATATAGAGAGAGAAATCACAAAAAGGTCATCTTCTGCACAAAGTTTGAAGTACAGAGAGATCATATATCTATGTATTTATTACGTAAACAGTTAAATAAGTATGTAAGTTAACAGATAAATGTGTGTAAATGTAGGCACAAAAATTGATAGACTAACAAATAAATCGATTAGATTTTCCCCCCATGATGTGATTAAAAACCGAAAGTGTCATAAGTCGCAATGTTGTACAAGTGAAAACAACGTTTTAGTCACTCGATTTTGGGCCGGGCATGGCCAGGTGGCTAAGGCACTCGACTCCCAATCTGAGGGTCGCGGGTTCGAATCCCTCTCCCACCAAACATGCTCGCCCTTTCAGGCGTGGGAGCGTTATAATGTGACGGTCAATCCCACTATTCGTTGGTAAAAGAGTAGCCCAAGAGTTGGCGGTGGGTGGTGATGACTAGCTGCCTTCCCTCTAGTCTTACGCTGCTAAATTAGGGACGGCTAGCGCAGATAGCCCTCGTGTAGCTTTGCGCGAAATTCAAAAACAAACACTCGATTTTAAATTGCAGGATAAGGTGAATAATATTTTTTGAGCAGTCCGCAAGTAGCAGTGGCTATTACAAACAACAATAAAGGACTAATAGGGTCTTTTCGTTGTTAGAGTGTAATAAAAAACGTATGAACCTTTTAAATTAGAAGTAAATTTGTAGCAAAAAGATTGTTTTAATTGTTTCCTTGTTTACTTAAACCCATTTATACCTTCAAAAGACCTATATTGAGATTGGTCTGTGATTTGAATAGTCTATATTGTTAAAGGTTTGTGATTAAAGTCTATATAGGGTGAAATGTTTGTGAGTTGAAGTGCCTATATTGTGAAGGATTTGTGATTTTAAGAGACATTATTGTAAATAGTTTGCGATTTCCAGTGTCTATAGTATGAATGACCTGTGATTTTAAGTCTGTGTAGTGTGACTGACCTGTGGTTTTAAGAATCTATATTGTGAATTGCTTATGATTTGGAGTATCTATACCTTGAGTGGTCTGTGATTTGAGGTGTTTTATATCGTGAATGGTTTGTGATTTGAAGCAGTGTTTTATTCAGGGATTGAAAAATGGGTTGGATGTTCGAATTTTCAGGGGAGGGGGGGGGGTAATGAGGGCTGTATCGTACTACAGTAAAACTAAGAAATGTTAGACGTCTATTTTATCAAGTAGATAACTTCGGTAATTAACTGTCAATACTACCTCAAGAAAAAGGAAATTTACCTACCGATAAACATGTAGATACATGTTTTGTATAATAGGGAGAATTATAATTATACACCCTTCAAATCAGAGATTTCCCTACCTCCACCCCACCCCGAACTTTCTCATTACTCCCCCCTCTGGCCAACTAGTCAATTGTAGTGTTGCCAATTTAGTCATTTTCCAATTACACCTGTTTTTGTTTTCTATTTGTAAAAATATTTCATTTTATTGTCTGTTGTAAACTTAGTTCTATAATATCATTTGACACTTTGCTATTTTTCCTCGTCACGTAATAGTTTCCTAACAGCAAATGAACAATTAAAATCCAGAATAAGAATTGTCTCAGTATAAGCTGGTTATTCATAATATGCAAAAAAACAAAAAAAACAATTCAATTTGTATATAAAAGAAGTAATACAGTATTCTTGTTAAAAAGATATGTATTATCAGTTACTTTGACATACTGTGACATATCTGGTATGTGTGTATGCCAGATGCAGAAAAACGAAACTTTATTTACACTAAAGTTTTCAAAGTCTTCTTAAACATACAAAAACTTATACAGGTATCTTACGTAATGCACCCGTATATCAGTAATTAGAAAATCAAGTGAGAAATCCTTATCGTAAACAATGACTGTGATTGTTTCCAGCTACAAAGTTTATATATACGAAATCCAACGTTAGTATTCGTTTGTTTTGTTTCTTAGTTTCTATAATAAAACAACATTTGTCATTACAGTATGTGTTCAGTGGACTGTTGAACATTTTGAATTTTTTTTTACATAGAATTGTTTTTGGCTTACTTCCAGTTTGTGGGTCATGAAATGGACTTTCGAAACAGCTAGTTTGCGTAAACTTAATGTACATGAATATCTACCTACTTGGGCGACATGATTCTTCGAAGATAAAGCGTAACTCGACCTAATGAAGTGTATATTATGTCAGGTTTATTTAAAATACGTTGTATATGAAACTAATCATAATATATATTGTCATAATATTTGTCTAAACAAAGTAAATTATTAAGGAGGCACAACTACCAATATACTTGTATTCTAAGACGTAAAAAGTTCCTAGCGAGCTCTCGATAGTATAAATCCAGTTGTTGTTTTTTATTTTTTTTTGAAACTCACAAAAAACAAAGTCTTATGTAACTCAAACAAATGTGATTTTAAATCAACCATTTTAAAAACTGTATATTGAAAATATAACGTATCTGTGTTGTTTTTTACAGTTCAACTATTACAAATATTTATCATATTTGACATAATTTATGTAATAAAGTTCGCTAAGAATCCTGAAATAACTTACATATGAGAATCCTTAATTCGATATCTATTTTAAACTTTATTCTCTCTCTGAACATTATTAAACTGAAGAGTTTCTGTTATTTACATATCTAGCTATTTAAGTGTTATTTTTACAATGTCAAGTTGTTAACTATCGAAAACGTGGTAACACGATGGTAGTTTGGCAAGGTGACGTGTTCTAACTCGGTTGAGGATATTTTTGTTATAATAATTCTAATCAGTTCAAGTTTGGCTCAATGAGGTATAGTTTATAGTCTTGAACTTGCCGATATATGTTTTGTAGTATAAAAGTTATCTATGCCATGTTCATTCCGAATACTACAATTATTTAAATGTATATACTCACCATGTTGATACTGGAGACTATCGTTATCATCATCTACGTTGCAAATGACATTTGTCCTTTCAAGAGGAGATTTATCGTTGTTGGCGGGTATCACAACCACAGATGTAGTGGGTCTTGAACCTACAAATGATGATTCCATCCACACCACGCGTTGCGGTGATGAAGTTTGGCTCTGGTTTCTGCTTTGGCTGATGTCAACAAAAGTTTGTTGCGCATCAGAAGTGGGTTGACGAGTTTCTTTCTTTGTCACTTTATCTAGGACAGAGTCTCCATTGTAAATACTTTGAATGTACGAAAATCTGTCCCGTTTGGGCTTACGTTCTTTCGTACCCTCAGATCCACCTCCAAAGTCTTGATTGAATGATGATGAGGAATTTTCCCGTTGTTTTAAAGTTTTTACACTCTCTCCACGGTGCCCATTGATATCCGTTTTTTGTTCCATATTACTGTTTAGTAAGATTCTAGGCTCTTGGTCTGAACAGGAAAACTCTGATGTAACAATTGTAAAACTGTCGTCCTTTTCCTCATCAGGTAAGTATGAGGTCTGATAATAATCAGTTTCATTTCCTACAGACTTTTTTCGAAAACAATTTGATGAGTTGCTACTGGCTGGAGCCTGATATGAAAACGTATCTTTCTGCAAAGAAAAGTTTTTATCTTGATAACTTCTACGGTTTCGACATTCTTGGTGTGGTTCTTCTCCAGGTGGCCTACTAGAGGACTGAGAGAGTAAACTTCCAGCTAAAGATACTTTGTTAGGTGTACTGCATTTTACTGGGTAATCATACATGCGTCCTGATTTTACTGGGTAATCAAACATGCGTCCTGAAGAACTCAGAAAAGAGAAGTCCTTTTCTAATGTACCAGAAGACTGGTGGTAAGGAGATCCGTCATCAGTTGATTCCGAGTAAAGTTGAGCCGATTCGGTTCTGTCACAGTTATAAGAACAAGAAGTTCGATCATACAAACCACTGTGACCATTTCTCGCCTCCAAGTCACTTGTAGGGCGATATGGAAGAAGAGAAGTCTGTTTTGATTTGGTGAAATCAGTTCCTTTCTCTACGGTATTAATGCTATATGTGCCCAGTTGTTCACTAAAGTTTGCCAATAAGTAGCCTTTTCCCACATCCTCTGTTTGATGATGTGAAGAAGTTTGTATCTCGGGTTCATCAGATATTTGGGTATAAGCAGATTGACATTCTCTGAAGCTACGACCAGGCGATACAGGCCGACTGGTGGTCAGAGGAGTTGATGGAGCTGGAGATGGAACTCCTGAAAAACTACTGCTAGAATTCTGACCAACAGCTGCTCTCCATCCCAAGTAAGGCTGTCTAAAAGAGCGATAAGGTGACCACCCTGAAACAGGAAAGCTAGTTGACGACAAGCGTGTGCTACTCCACCTAGATAATGGATATGGTTCAGCTGGAGACATAGACCCTGCACTAACTCCTGTGAGACTCTCTCGTGACGATCGCAAGAACTCCATATATCGCCAGTCGGTATTAATTGAACGATCAGGAGTTCTCAAGTTTCTGCTTGAAAGACTAGTGGAAGCAATGCTAGAAGAAGAAGGGGTTCTTGATCCTAGTCCTTGCCATCGTGGACGTCGTTTTCCATTATTGTGCTTCAAAAGTAGCTTTTCTTGAGACTGTTTACTCCAAGGAGAGTTCTTGTACCATTCTGGAATGTTTAGATTTTGTAAAGACCGTTCTACTCGTAGCTCATGCTCAGACTTAGTCTTATTAGTATTAAATGTATTTTCTGGAGGTAAAACAGATAGTCGATTATCATCATCTAAAAGAAAGTCCATGCTCCGGGCTCGTGAATTATCCTCCATGTCAGTAGTGTGATTTGTTAGGTTCTGTTGATTCAGCGTAAACATGCTACAAGTAAGATATGCATTGTACAAGTTATTTTCCCGGCGTGACCTATCTTGTTCTGTTTCAAATACCTGTCTACATTCTAAAGTATCAATATCTGTCTCTAAGTATCCGAAACTTTTACTTCTTCTTTTTAAGTATTTCTCATGTTCGTACTTGTCTTCATATTGGGATACTTTTGGATGATAAGAAGGCCACACAGCAGCCGAACCACCTGCATGCCGAGGCTCGGAATAACCGCGTTCTGAGCTTGTTCCTTGCTGGCTCCGACCTTTAGAAGCAAGGATCCGATCAATATGTCTCCTACTGCTGCGTACTGATCTTTCTATTGCCGCAAGATCTGGAGTACTGGCTATTAGTCGGGCTCTCTCCGCTTCGGTAGAACGTCTGAAGGATTTGAACTTATCTAAGTCGCCATCTTGGCTTCCATAATCATATTTCCTTTCTTCACTGTTCTGAATAGCTTCTAAGAACTGTTTTCGTGCGCTAGCAATACGAGTCCTTATTCCAGTATTTAGCCCCGCTTTTGTAGCTTTTTGAAAATGAAATGGCAAAGGTGGTTTAGAAGAGTTATTTTTTGCTGCAGATTTATAACCAGTAATACGTTCTATTCTGTCAGTCAGATCTTCATTATTAGGAAGTAAACTATTTGATAATATCGATTGCTGAGAAGACGAAAATTCTGAACTCTTTGGTTTCAGGCACTTAGTGGTAGATTCATGTTGTGGCATAGATCTGGCACTTCCCTCGTCTTTATTTCTACTTGTACTACTCCTTTCTTTCTCCTGGGCCTTAATACACGGTGTTAAGTTACTGGGTGTTAAGTTAAAAGTTGAAGAGGGAAGAGAAAGTTTTTTCTCACTACAAATTAGTGAAGTATACCCGGGTGTGATGCTTCTCCTGTACTTATAATTTAGAGGAGATTTGTCTCTGTTCTCTTTATATCTCGGAGACGGTAAACACATTTTCTCGCTGTAATTCTGAATACATGCCGGTTTTTTCTGGTCTAAAGACATGACCACATCCCGTTTTTCAGTCTCAGTTTTATTCTGCACTGGACGTTTATTTGCTAGTCCATGAGCTGGAGACACATTACCGATTGTGCTATTTTCGCAATTGTCAGCTGAAGTTAGAATTCTCACAGTTTTAGGTTGATTGTTTGCATAGTCTTGTTCCCACGTGTTAACATCGCAAGTGTTATTGTCGTTGCTAAGCAACAGCAGTTGATTGCTTACACCTGGCAGCGTCGCAGTTGAAGCAGTGTTTGCTGGAATGAAGCCCCTAGGTTTAACTAACAGGCCGTAATTTGTCAAACACGAGGGGCGGAACTGACGTACACTGCCAATGGCTGACAAATGCGCCGGTTTCGGTGGAGGTGCTGGCTTGCAAAGTCCACCTGGGAAATTTACTTTAGGTTTATTACTTGGTGGAATGACTGATGAATGAACCTTAACTATCTGTCTTATAACGGACACTGGCTCTTGTGCTAATTCCTCTTTACACTGAAGTACTGATGAACCTTTAGCCATCTCGAGTGAAGAAAATTCTCGATATTTCGGTTGCCTTATTATAATATTTTTAACAGTGTTTGTTTTTAGTAACCTGTTACCTGGCGTATCATGTTGTGCGAAATTATAGCGTTTAGGTACGCTCTTAATATCAGAACTTACCGATTTATTAATCACTCTTTTACGAGTACCATGTTGTAACTGTCTTAGGTAATTACCTTGACCTTTTTCGAGCAACTCTGAAGTTTCACTTTTGGTTAAGTTATCTTGTTTACTTTGCTGACCTACACATAACACTGGTTCGGAAGTACTTCGCTGAAAGTTATCCAAGTTTTGAAAACTTCTATTTTCTATGATAATATCATCAACACCAGCCTTCCACAACTTAGCACTTCCATGTCGTACCGAACTACACAGCTTTTCAGTCCCATTCGCAGCTGTAGAAAGTACAAAAGAAATGTCCGGCAATGGCTTTTCCAGAAAATTATTCTTAATTAAAAGCTCATTTGAACATTTACGCAGGTTGTAACTATAGTTCTTGGTGTGACGTTGGATTGAAACCGTTGTGGATTATTGGTTTCATCACAAACTCTAGTTGAAACTACAACGCCATCAGTGGTCAGTTTACCAAAGCCACAACATCTATTTCTATGTGCACTTGAGGTTAAAGCGTGAGAAGCGTCAGCTCCTGTTATTGGTAAGCTATACTTTTTCCGTACTGTTGATTCACTACTGGTAGTTTTCGTAATAGTATTGTTGCTTGACTGAACGTCAGTAAATGCTAGCACACGCTTTCTTGGCTTTCTTTCAACTGAGCTTGACTTAAGGTCCTCCCTTTCGACTACGTTGAAATGTCCCAGATTTGGAGATACATGGGCGCGATCCTGTGCATGGGTAGAAATGAGTACGTCCGTAGACCCTGCATTCCGTAGTATAGTATTCACTTTGCTCCTCGTGGGGACGTCACTGCTGGGGTCGAGAAGGTTACCTTGATGCGACTGTAAGGATCGTATTTCAACACCCTCGTCTATATATTTGTAGTTATCATTTACCTCAACAGACGGCGCTACAATATTAACTCCTCCAATTTGTACATCAGGTGGTTCGAACGATGAATTGCCACTTTTACATTGCATTTCATCTGTACTGGGAAAGAAATGCGATCGCATTGAATTATTATCCTCAATATATAAATTATTTTCCGTCACGCTATACTTGTCTACTATATTATCTTTGGCAGAACTGTTTTTAATTTTATGGAAATAAAGCTGAGTGGATTGACCACTGTATGTATGACTTTTGATGTAACTCCGCTCATTACCAGCTGATGGTCGAAGTACTGTTGATCCTTCAATTGGCTCTGTCTTTTTAGAATCGTTTGAGTACACGTTATTACTAATTGTGTTTTCACTTCCTGTATATCTGTTCTGCTGATCTGGCGTAATCACAAGTAATCTACTGAGCTTACTGACATTATTTTTTTCTAGATTCGTTATCTTGTTGTCATGATTTTGCACAACGTTTCTCGCATGAGCATTATTTAACAATGTTTCTAAATTCACTGCTTCGTGAAAAGATTCACTTTTACCTTCTGCCTTGAAATATTTATTGTCAGGCAATGCGGTGACGTACTTGGCATTGCAGATTTCTTCATTTTGCACGTTAGGCAGTCCCCACTTTGTATTACTATCACCATCCTGGTTCAACATATCACAGCACTTACTGTTCACACTTTGTCCTTTCTCAGTTCGATTGCCTTTTTTGCTTGAATTTTTTAACATATTTTAAACTAACTTCCCAGTTGAATGAGAATTATTTTTCTCGAATCTCAATCGTTTTCAATTACTAAAACATTATTAATCTCTACAGTTTTCCATTCTTCCAAATTAGATTGTGATTATTAGATTCGTAGGATTTAACCCTCTCTTGAACTTTAAAGCTAGTCTGTAAGTCAACTTCATTACCATTTTGCTGGATACATATGCTTTCATTTTTTTCACACTGTAATTTCTTAAACTATGTGTTTTCTAAAATTGTTACATCTATGATCTCTCACATTTAGCTTTCTTGACCCGTGTGTAATTTGCTCAATCAGTAGGCCATCAGAAGCAGATGTAACAAGTTTGGCAAGTTTTTAGCAACTGTCACAGGTTGTTATGACGACTTTGCTAATTCTGGAAAGCTATATCACAAGTTGCCATAACGACTTTGCTAATTTTTGTTTCTCGAATACGGGCAAAGTTACTTTTTCTAAACTGAATTTGCCACCTTTGCAAGAAACTGTTACAAAATCTCCATTCTTATTGTCAAGGGAAAAAAAAGAACCAACCTTTTTCTTCAAACGCAACTCTATGAATATATGTAGTCTGGTAAGCCACTTTCTTCACTCTTTACCGCAACACGCAGGCTTATCCAACAGACCTTCACAGTGCTGACGTTGAAATACACCAGTGTATCTCACGTTACTAACTAAGTAATTGTGAGCAGTTGTTTTTCAATCAAGAGCATTATCACGTGATTCGAAGAACATGCTGTTATTGGCTTTCTCTGTCTGATAGCTTGTCGAGTTAGCCTTATCCTTATCTCTGACTCTCACACTTAACATCTTTTCAGGGTGATAGTTATTTTGAAGGGGAAATGCCATTGAAATCCCCATTCATGATTTCTATATCAATCCTGTAATCCTAGTGGTATTGCAATTTTTAAAGTCTTCAAAGGCAAATTCAGCGAGGACTGCACATCCATTGAAAGAAACTCTGACAGATTCGATTCATCATCATTATCATCTGGCATTTTTCATTTCATTCTCTTTGAAGCACAGCTTTGAAAAACCATCCCTAACATATACTGACGAACCGAAAATATTCTTCCCTCGTTTAGAAATGTTAACTCCAATTACATATAAACATCATTAAAACCACAAACTTCTCATTTGTTGATCCTCATCACTCGTCAGACCCCCTGTCACCACTTATGCTCTTTAATTCATCCAAAGTTTCCTCCTCAGTGGTCTCCAGTAATAACTGTCCTCCAAATTCATTATAGTTGAATAAGTCAGCCAACAAGTTTGTTTGAGGACATAAAATACAATCAGGTTAGGGTATTCTCAGTCATTAGTCAACACCTTACCATCAGTATTCATTCTATATAGGAAACAGTCAGTTTGGTTATTCTTTTATTGTTGACCACCATTTCTCCTAGAAGGTAGTTTTATTTCATGTTTACAAAACACATTAAGGTGAGGTGATTCCAGGTATATTTCTCATCAGGTGCTGTCATAGTGCTACCTCTTCTTACAGTTGGAATTGATAACCTCCCCTTGGGTTGAAAACCTGGCTTTTCTGGAACACTTTTCTCATGTTAAACACTTTTACTCTGATTAGTAATGAATACTTCCACTTCCGACCGCTTTATGTGTAACAGATAATCAGTTCTTAGTTGTTATCTAACATGCATTCACACTCAAAACACTCTAAATGGTAATTAATGTACTTCCGTACGTAATCCAAAAATATTCAGTCACAAATCTTCATCACATCAAAGTATTACTGTAATAATCTTAAAAATGTCAACGTCGTGAAACAATAAATTTTAAAGTAACATTAAGACTGTAAATATATACAGAAATACTGCTCTTATAAATACTGTGCCACCAGCTATTAAGCAAATACAGTTTTCTCTTCAACGCAGTCGTTACTTATTTTATCAACTTTACCTTTTCACCTTTATGTTTAAGATGGATATCAAACAATTAGGTGACAACTTTGGGACTTTCTTAAACAATGTCAACCACAATAGTTCATTGTGTTTTGTTATCAATTCCCTGGCTCCACAGGTCATACGTATGACATTCATGCCTCTCATCATAACAATAAGTGTATCGTATATTTCTAAGTGCTACTCTTTTGATCTTTGCCCTCATATGTATATATAAATAACGTAATGTAAATATAATACTTATTCTTAATACTACTATTTTGTTAATGAATTAAGTCGAATGACTTACATATTAAGGACTGCCTCTTTAATGTTAATGCGGTAGTTTAAGTTGTTAAATAATGTGCTTTATAAATAATTGCTATTGGTTAACCGTTTAACTCGGGTGGTAGAGCAGAGTTGGTGCGCGAAAAGTCTCGGGTTTGAATCCGAGCCGAGGAAATAACAAAAAAAAACAAAAAAACAGGAACCTGAAATAACACTAAAGGAAAAATCGGAGCCGTGAAATTATACAACAATGGAATCACCATAACATGAAGGTTAACAAACAACATAGTATCCGCACTGAAGCTTTAAATATGATATGTGACTTGAATGGTGTTTCATAACATGAATAGTTAATCAACAAAGTATATCGTTTATCATGACTGCACACTTTTTGTCACCATATAAAAATTATCCTACAACACGGCGTTGAAAGATCTTTTTTTAATCAAATAATTCCTTATGCATCATTGCATTTAGTGAACATAAATTGACCAGGTGCTCTCGATTTTAGGCATAAACTTGATTGAGGCCTCTTGTCTTTCAAGTAGAAGTCTCCTCTTTCAAAGCGCCCAAAAGTTATTTTATTCCAAAACAGGTTTCCCTCGATGGCTCAGCAGTAAGACTGGTGGTTTATAACGTAAAAAATAGGAGCTCGATACCTGTGTTGGGAAGAGAACAGTTAGGCCATTATGTAGCTTTTTACTGAAACAAACAAGAATCCAAAACAGGTATATAAATATCCAACTTAGAGCACGTGGTTTATGTGTTCAAAACTCCTGCGACAGAAAATAAAAAAATGAATTTTTGATTGGCTCACGCAATGAATGAATAAATGATAATTAACTGAATATGAGCCAGGAATTTTGAAACATTTACCAATAACTTAAATGGTATTTGGCTGTAGCTTTGAATTTGATCTCTTCTAAATGAGTAACGTTAGTAGTGGTAGTTTCGTGTACAGTTTTTCGTCCGGAAACAAATAAATACATAATTCCTGATGATAATAAAACCTTGTAGAAACATTGTACATTTGTTTTACTGTCTTTATTACCCATTCAAGC